GACATCACCGGGTAACGACCCCGGAGCTGAAGAAATTGGCATCTCAATTTGGTAGGCATTAGGGCTGTTCACAAATACTCTAATTACCCTTCCTCCAGGTACACAGCGGGCCTGAACTTCTCCACCGGGTTATGGTTGTATCCGGCCCGGCGACTGCGCTGAGCTAATGAAACATGAACAGGAGTCTTAACAGCCAGTGCGGGGTCTGCCAGTTCCCTGTCCCCTGCTGCGGTGATCTTGAAAGTCTGGGCCGAGATGGAGCTTCTGTCTGCCTCGGTCTCTGAGTGACCGTATTAAATAGGGTCTTCTTGCTGGCCTGCAGCCTGAGCTAGAAATGAGAGCTGTCACACAACAGACACAGCAACTTTCTTAATGTTCAGCCACTGAGATTTTGGAGTTCCTTATTACTGCAGTATGATTTAGCCTATCCTGACTAATGCAACAATGGCAAAAACTGTTTACTTCCCTTAGGAAGAGAAACTAACCAAGAATGATGTCATAGAACGAGGACGAGCGGCATCTCACAAAAAATACGTGTGCCCAATTGTTTTCTCTGTGAGAGTGGATTTCATTGATCAATGTACCTTCTTTCAATTCTCCTCAAAATTAATGGCACAAACTTTTGAGATGAAAGAGTAAGACAGCACTGTGCCCAGAGTTGGACAGGCACAGAGGGCATGTGGTCACGTGACAACCGACGCAGAGACTGGAGTCACGCAGCTACGGGCCAAGGAACGGTAAGGGCTGGCAGCCACCCCTAGAAGCTAGGAAGAAGCAAGGGCAGGTACGGTCCCTGGACCCCTGAGAGGTAACCAACCCTGCTGACACCTGGATTTTGAACTTCCGGCCTCCAGCTATGAAAGATTCAGTTCCTTGATGTTTTATGCAGCCCAGTTCCTGGCACTGTTAGGACAACATTAGGAAATAAACAGAGTGACTTTTAACTATACTTTCTCCCAAGCCTCAGCCTGCCTGGCATTTTTATGCTGAGCTTTTACACAATGGTCCCACACATTCCTGCACATTCCTGCATTTTAAACCTTAATGCTTTACGGACCCCTTCCTGAGTTGGGTAAAATAGGGTATGGGGCCTAAACCCTTCTTTACCCAAATGAACCCCAGTCAAGATCAGAAGCAATGTCCTGCTCAACCTCTCTTTCTTTGTTGTTGTTTGTTATATTCATTCGTTTTACTTGTTAGCTTCCGCAGATAAGTGAAAACAACACAGTTGTTGTCTTTCTCTGTCTGACTTACTTCAGTGGGCATAATATCCTCCAGGTGCATCTGTGTTGTTTCAAATGGCAACATTTCATTCTTTTCCTGGCTGAGTACTATTCCACATCTTCTTTACCCATTCATCAGTTGATGGACCCTTATATTGTTTCCATGTCTTGGCTATTTTAAATAATGCTACTATGAACATTGGGGTGTGTGTATCTTTTCAAATTAGTTTTTGTTTTCTTCAGATGTATGCCCAGGAGTGGAATTGCTGGATCGTCTGTTAGCTCTATTTTTAGCTTTTTGAGGAACCTCCCTACTGTTTTCCACAGTGGCTGCACCAATTTCCATTCCCACTAACAGTGCACGAGGGTCCCTTTTCTCCACATCCTCCCCAGCATTTATTATTCATTGTCTTTTTACAATAGCCAGTCTAACAGGCAGGAGTTGATATCCCATTGTGGCTTGGATTTGCATTTCCCCGATGATTAGTGACGCTGAGCATCTCTTCATGTGCCTATTGGCCATGTTTGTCTTCTTTGGAAAATTGTCTGCTCAGGTCTTCTGCCCATTTTTTTAATCAGCTTGTTTGTTTTTCCTATACTAAGTTGCATGAGCTGTGTATATGTTTCAGGTATTACCCCTTGTCAGACACATCATTTGCACTATCTGCTCCCATTCAGTAGGTCATCTGCCCATTTTGTTGATGGTTTCCTTCACTGTGCAAAAGTTTTTAAGTTTAATTGGGTCCCATTTGTTTATTTTTGCTTTTGTTCTTGTTCACCTTCTAATCCCGCCTCTGATGCCTTCTCAGAACCTAGCACGGCACCTGGCCCACAGCAGGGCCTCCACAGGGTTTGTTTAAGAAAGTACAGAACACACACTGGAGAGCATTCCTTTTCTTTCTGTGCCTCTCCCTCATACTAAACAGTGATGTAGGACGACTGAATTGCTAAGTCTCTGAGTGTTGTCTCACTTCATAACCAATTACCAAACAACAAACTGGGTCACTTTGGTAGCCGGTCTAAGTCAGTTCCTCCATACATGGGTGCCAACTATTCCACGGTCCATTAATGCCATTCACATCAATAATTACATCAGGGCAACCAAAGCAACAACCAATCACCAGAGCCAGACTTGGGGGTTTTGAAGTTACAGAACATCCTTAGATCAGTGAAGGCAAAACAACAAACCTAAGACATAAGAGGCAAAAGTAAAAGTTAACCTGAAAAAGTGAGACTCCTTGTGCGTGTAGTCATGTCACCAATGACTGTGTCCACACACCACGGCCCTCAACAGAACTCCTACTTATTCATCTGTTATTCATCCTAATGAGTTGGCTCCCAGGTAAGGTATCCGCTGGCTTCCATATATACTCTGCTTTCTTTCCAAGCATTTCACAAAGCCAGGTTTCTCATTTTGGCTGGAAAGGAGTCCTAATCACCTAAGAACCAGCACATTTCAATCTCGTGAGGACAAAGTTTCACTATATTAAAATGCAGCCAAAACACAGATTTCTGCCTCACACACAGAAAAGGCCGATTTAAGGTCTTCTCCCCAAATACTTAATGCCTGGGAGGCTCTCCAGTCAGCTTCATCCTTTGAAATCATATCCCTGACAGACAAACAAATTAATCTTTCACTATTAATCTTCCCAATTTCTGCTATTTGAGGGATGTTTTAATTAGCTCAGCCGTGTTATCATTCCTTTAAGTATCTGAAGATATCTGTTCGTTTCCTACTGGTCCCAGGAAGATAACCCCTTCACCAGAGGTGGCTAAGAAATCTGTATTTGCTTTCAAAGTTCTCTGGCTTTTTCTGAGACAAGCATTTCATGTTATTTCCCTTCCACTGCTAATGGTTAAATGTTGAAGGCCTTAGCTAATTTGAGGTGACCGAATCCAAATCATTCGGTGGACATTCCTCTACCTGCACCAGGAATGGACTGTCACGAAGGTAGTGGAGTTCACTGTCCACACCAGGTTCCAGCAAGGTCTCTAACTTCTCAGCATTTCCCTTACAGGTCCTTTCTGAAAATGTACATACCTCGAGGGAGAGAAACTCTTTTTATCAAGACAATTTTTTCCATTGCAGCATTGATCAGGGCACAGAAATGATGGAAACTTTTGTAAAGCCAGGAAGAAAAGAGCTCTGATGGTGCCCAAATAGACACAGAATAGATGTCAAAGGGAGTAGAGACAGAATCCTCCATCTCTGATCAGCACAATACTGTTACCCCCATTTCAGAAATAAGATGAGTCCTTTGAAATGGAGAATGGTACCCTACTGATTGAACAGCAAGAAAGCACCAGATACTCGAAAAGTTTTATGAGTAGAGGGCAGAAGAGAAGAGGGCACTGGGAGGGCAGTGATAACCTACCTGGCTCCTTCACATCTGTGCCCAGAATGGTCTCCACTAAATGAAAATGTCAGTGCCACCTGTGAAGGTAACACTTTAAGCCACCCTCAATTATGGCTCTGAAGAATGAGGACATGAAAGAGGGAGGATGGCATGAGGGAGGGGATGCATGGCTCAGGAAGCACTGACAGGGGTGGGAACAGGGTAGAGAGCTGGGGCGACTTGAGGCTCCGGAAAACTGGCTGGGAAAGAGCAGAGACAAAGCTTACCTCCTTACTCGTTCGAGGTGGTTCTACTCCCACATTCAGGATGGATCATTTGATGAGCAGCTGGGGGAGAGAATGGCCAGAAGGAAGTCAAAGCAGGGTAGAAAGTGAGCTAAGCCAAAGATTTTCCGTGCAAAACCCAGTGCTCTGAAACCACTACAGTAACGTTTCAGGTCAGAAAACCACAGCTACCCCCTGGACCTGGCCTACATCATGGTGGACATGGCCATGTGGCAGCTAGGAATCTCTGTCTTTAAGTTACAGAAAAGCGGACCGATGATGACCTAGACAAAGATTTCTTTTTCTCATGAAAAAGAACTCCCACACTGCCTCAGTGGCTCAGTGGTGGCAGGCCAGTGTTGCTACAATTCTCAGGTTGCCAGATGGCAACAATCGCTCCAAGGATCAGATCTTATACTCGTTCAGGGCAGGATGCAGAGGACAGGGCTAGGACAGGTTCTCTTCCGGACCTTCATCTTACCAGGGACGAAGAACCTTTCCTGGAAGGTCCCAGCAGACTTCTTATATTCTTGTTGCCCTACACTACACGCCTACCCTCAGACTAGGGACTGCACCCAAGTTCCCTAAAATTAACAGAAGCCCATTTGATGTGTGTCCTAAATAGGTTTCCCTGCTCTGTTCTATGAGCATGGACGATGGGGGCAGTGTCTTTGGAGGGCTCTAACGTCTACTGCTGATGAGAGTCAAGAGCTGCTGGATCACAGCAGAGCCCTGAAAACCAGCAGAAGCAGGAGACTGCTGGGACGACCCCGAGAGAGAAAAGCATCCACCCTACACAGGCATCCTCTCCAAATTTAGAAGCAAGAACTAGCCTTCCCAGAGGCTCCTTTGAAACTGTTAAGAAATTATAATTAGACTTTGTGCTTCTGCTAAGCCTTTCATCCCAGGAGCTCAGGGCACATCGTCTCATTAATCTTCACAAGACCATTCGAGGCAGCTGGCATCTACTGTCATCTTTACTTACAGGATGAAGGGACCAAGATGTAGGTACAGGTCAATGACCTGCCCGATGTCATATACTCACATGTCATATGCCCGAGTCACCAGCTGGGGAAGGGACCAAAATTGATGGGGGAAGAGAGCTACCCCCAGCTCCCTGAGGACCCTGGGCAGGAACATGGCGGTCATTTACTTACCCAGATAGTGTGAGCCCGGAAACATGGCCTGAAGGAAGAATGTCAGAGCTGTGGGCAAAGAGGCAAGAGGAACAAGTGTGAGCTATGATTCACTGGCCAGCAACCTTGAGTAAGTCACTTGCACTTTCTGAATATTTTTCTTCCTTAAATATAAGAATAATAACATCTACCCTGTCTAATTCACTCAGTTGTTTCAAAGACAAAAGGAATGTTTCAAATGAAACCACTTGAGCTAGGACATTGTGTAAAATCTAAGTCCAATGAGGCAGTTGGTAGAACCAACATTTAAAATCAGCCTGCTAGAAAATAAATAGATTAATTCATTAAAATAAACAAAATAAAATCAGCCTGATTAAAAAAAATAAAAATAAAGTAACATAAAATCAGCCTCTTGCTCTTGGCTCATCACGACCATCCTAACCTGCAATCAGACAATTATACGAGACTCTTTTCAGATGACCAAGAAATTCCTCTCTGCTATTGGATATGCTGTGAGCCTATTTTCAGCAAAGGCTGTAAGGAACATGCAGCGCCGAATGCGGTTATAACTAGGATGTGACCCGTGTCCTCTAGGAAATACAGTCGGGCGGAGAAGGCAGACAAATGAAGCACTAAGACAAGACACAAGAAGGCTAAACGGGACAGGTGGTATTCAGAGGTTTGGGTCAGCCAGTGGGCTGGGAGGGAGTGGCGAGAGGGGGCAGTGGACAAAAGCTGGAAAAGTCCTTAGCTTTTCTTTTCCTTCCCTGGCGTCCATCATTCTCCCCTCTGAGAAGGAGTAAGTCAAGGCGGTAGAGCAGCAGAGGTTGAAGTTTGGGTTTGCTTTGTTTACATCTGCAGGAAAGGATATTTGTAGAGAAAACGTTTCTTCTGCGCACCCAGGGCGCGCCTGTCTCTGCGGGCAGACTTACTTTCTGCCACAGGAGGGCGCGTCTCCTCCTCCGCCGGTCTCTGCGGCCAGCGCCGCGCCGCCTCCCAGCTCCATCCAGCTGAGCCGGGCTGTGCCTCGACACCTGCAGCCTAGAAGCACTGCAGCAACAGCTGGGGGGCCTGGAAGACCGGGTCACAGCACGCCCAGCTTCCAACGTTTCATGTCTTTAACAAGAGCCAGGATAGATGTTCAAAAACAATTAGTCCCCCATCTACAATGCATTCTACGAGGACAGTAATCCCTAGAAAATTCTCAAGGAGTATTTTTGGAAGATTGTCTATCAGAGAGAAAGAAGCTCAGATTCATCAGGAGGTGGAATAGGCCAAATAGACATCTGGCCCTGGCACCGATGTCTCCCCCATCCCAGGCTTAAAACAGGGTGGGAACCAATTGACATAGCAGGACACTTGTCCCTTCCCAGAGGGACATCCAGTGTGGTGCTAAGGGGACCCAATAAAAGAAGGAAGGGGCTTCCAGATCTGAGACATGATCAGGGAGGGAAAACAGTTACCTTGCCTTTATTTTTGTTTCGATAGTTAATTGTTAAAATATCTGCACTAAGGAAACTATTCGGGCTGGCTCTGCACCAGGCAAGAATTCCTAAATTGCACTAGCTTGGCTGCTCCCCAAAGTCCCTTTGTTCCCTCCACACCCTCGTGTAAACATACCCACCCACCAATACCCTGTATTATTTGTCTCCAGTGAATTAGAAAGAAAGTTCTACGATAAGGCAGGATGAAACACTGACAGCCAATCAGGAGCCTTTCACTCAAAACTCCCACTCAGAATTAATGGAGGATTGGTCGGTTGGTTTGTTTTTGCCTCCAAAGAGAATTTACTAATTCCATGATTTCCAGCCACTGGATTGGAATGGCTTTAGGGGTAGGAACAGCCTAAACCAAACACTCCTAAACTTTGAGATGAATAAGAACTATCACAGCATGGAAAAAAATCAAAATTATCAGCATGCTAAAATTATCCTCTTCTTAAAAAGGAAGAGAAATCTCTGATTAGGAAAAAGATTTTGTAAACCATCTAATAATAATGACAAAGTAACACCCATTATAGATCTTGAATAATCTGAGAGGTGTTCGGACTAAAATCCCCTCACTTGCTCCAGAATATTTGCCCAGCCACACACCCACAATGTACTGTATATTTTCACAGGTGCTATCAAAGGAGTGACCCGCCAACACCATCTTCATCATCGGATGAGTGGTTTATCAGCCAGAGGCTGGCTCGGACAGAACACCTGGTTAAAGGTTACTAATCCTAATTTTTTCCCCTTATTTTGCTGAGCCTGGGTCCTGATGTTTGGTGCACTTCCTGGGTCGTGGATTTCATTAGTATTACTGCAGACACTAAAGAAAACCTCTCTCCAGTCCCCGCCCCACAGCAGAACACTATAGGATAAATCTGAATCAGAGTCTAAGTAGTCTCCTCTGTAAAACGAGGCTGAGTCCATCTGTGTTCGGGGACATCTCTGTTGATGCTGGGGGCTAGTATGAGAAACAATGATTCATGGAGTTTCTAGAGTGGCCACATCCTTGTTGTAAGGTTGATGTTTCTGAAGTCATACATACATCACTCACCCCAAGGAGATCTGAAGCTAGAAATGTTGAGGAAATACAGGATTAGAGAATGACAATTATGTGATAGTTAATTTTATGTGTCAAATTTACCAAGCTCAGTGCCCAGGAGTTTGGTCAAACAGTAGCTGAGTTGCTTCTGTGAAGGTATTTTGTAGATATAATTAAGGATTATAGTCAGTTGACTTTGAGTAAAGAGGATTGCCCTCAATAAGGTGGGTGGGCCTCATCTAATCAGTTGAAGGTCTTAACAAACACTGAGGTTTATCGGTGAAGGAATTCTGTCTCAAGACAGACATACTCCTACCTGTGTTTCCAGCATGCCGGTCTGCCCTACAGATTTCAGTCTTGCCAGGCCTCACTGTGGAGCCAATTTTTTAATATAATTCCCTTTTTTCATGTGTGTATTTGTGTGTGTGACTATGCTGTGTTTGTATATACTTTAAAAAAAATTGTTGGGTGGAGGGCAGTAATTAGGCTCATTTCTTTATTTTTTTTAATGGAGGTACTGGGGATTGAACCCAGGACCTCATGCATGCTAGGCATGCACTCTACCACTGAGCTTATATACCCTTCCCCTTGTATATAGTTTTGATTCTGTTTCTCTGAAGAACATTGATTCATACAGATTTCAAGTGAATCTTTTATTTCTTTGTGCCATCTAAGTTAAAACAATGAATATTCAGTAATGCCATTCTACATGACATTACACATAGCATGGACTCCTCATTTGGGGGCCACCTAGCCCCAGCCTAAGAGCCCACCCACCTCACTGGAAGCTGGCAGCTTCAGGGGTGGTCCTGATTGTTCTGAGGGTGAGAGGTCCCCTTGCCAATGATTGGCTCAGTGAGGGTCATGTGACCTCATTGTAAGGGCCAATAAGATATGAGAAGAGGTTTGCTGTAGACTTCCAGTGAGGTTTGTTCTCATTCTTGTGAGAAGCTTTACAGAAGCAGCGTTTTCTCTGCTGTTGGAGGAGCAGGAAGGAGCAGCCCTGGACTGGTACCGGCAATGGCCATTTGGTGGGATGTAACCTGGGTCTCTGATGATGCTGTTGAGCTGGATGGATCAGCCCTAATGCCTGCACTGCCTCTGGTCTTCCTTTTAAGTGAGCCAATATATTTTCTATGGTGCAAGCCAGTCTGAGCCTTCTTGAGGCTTCTTATTAGTTGCAGCTGAAGGACCACTTTTTCTTGCCCTTTTACCTATAACCTGGGAGAGTAGAACCAGATAATCTGAGATCTCCTTGAACTCTCAATATGTATGAATTACACAGTGAGGCACCAGCACTAACTTTCTCAATTACTGTTAGAGAATCTGAATATTATTCTAGGTTTCTAAACACATCTTCATTTTAGAAACTGCAAAGTGACATGCATTTTAAGTTCTTAATGTACAGTCTGATGATTTTTGTTCCAGGAGCCTTAACCCTAGTCAACCACTGTCAGCAATAATAACTTTCATTATTTTTTTTAATATATAAAAACTCTAGCAAGTGAACAATAACTAGGAAAAGAGCCAAATAGGAAAATGGGGAAAAGACAAGTGCAAACTCTTCCCAGCAAGAGAAACGAATTTTAAACCTATGAAGAGATGTTCAACCTCCTTCCTAAAGAGAAAAACGCAAATTAAAATGACAGTGAGATTGGGTTTTTTTTTTTTTACCTGAAAGATTGCAAGTTATAAAACCCTTAATAACACACTATTGGAGAAGATATAAGAAAATAGTAACATTTCTATGAATAATGAGAATTATCACCAAAGACCAGCAATTACAGGTATGGGTGGAAATGGTACAACTTTCAAGGAAGGCAATTTGGAATTACCTGTCAAAATTACAAATCTGTATGCTCTTTGACAAAACCATTCCCCTTCTAGAACTTTATCCTACAGTTACACTTGCCCATGTATAAAGCAATGTTACTTGTAATTGCAATAATTGGAAACAACTTAAATATGTATCAGTAGAGAAAAGATTAAAGTATCCTAGATGTATGCAGTAGAATAACTCCCAGCTGTTAAAGAAATGAGGCAGCTCTGTATGCAATAAAATGGAATAATCTCTAAATTGTATTTTAAACAAAAAGAGCAAGATGAAAAACAATGAGTGTCATATGCTACCATTTTTTAAAAATATCTAAATATACTTTTGTGTAGGGATAAGCTAGGAGACCGCATAAGAACCTGGGAACTGTGGCTATACCAAGGATTGCAACTCGGGAACTAGAACACAGGGGCGAAAGAGATGCTACCTTTTAACTGGATATTATTTTTAAAGTTTTTAAACATATGAATGTATATCAGCTATTTTAAAATTAATGAACTTGGGGGGAAAGTAAGTTATTATTACACATTTCCTGATTTACTATTATGACAGTAATTCTGAAGCTAAATTACAGCACTTGTGTTTTGGATAAATGATAATTAATGATCGGATATGAAACAATGATTTGGTACATTTGTTCTCATTTCCCTTTCTGTCTAAATAAGGGCAGTAGAAAAGGATCTTGAATTAAGTAGAGGAAATT